TAGTTGCCACTTGGACTTGGGAAGTCTCTCAAGAGGGCTGCTCCAGGCACAGAAGACTCCTATCCACAGCCTCCAAGCTACTCCCCTGGGCACTTTCTAGAACTGAGGGGAACCTGAATGCTACCCCCTACCCCATTTATGGGTTCCCAGGCTTTTAAAAAAGAGGGGGAGAGGAAAAAAGAAGTTGGTTTCCATGGCAACCAAAGCCATGTTCTCCAGCTCCCAGACCTGGGGTTCAGGTAGCACTTGCCTCAGGCTCTAAACTTGTTACTCATTCACAGGGTTATTAGCAGACTTGGACGCTGTTCCTTGGACTTAAGGTCTTTGGTCAAATCCATGTGGCTCACTCCCCTCAGCAGAGAAGACAGCAGGAAGACTGGTGCTCTCCCTTCCTAGTTAGGGGCCCTATGGAGCAGGGTGATGAAATTACGTGGCCTCTTCTGCCAAGGCCAGGCCTTCTTTGGCCTCCCGAACTGTACCCCAGCCAAGGGGTAGGAGAGTGCTAGGAGGAGGTTTCCAGGAGTCGAGACTCCAGGCTAACAAGATTAGAGGGAGTGGTGCCTAGGGGCAAGGAACAAAGTGTCTTATTCTTCCAAGTTCAACTCTTCCCTTCCCTTTCCCGCACCAGCCTCACTCTTTGGCTTTTAGATCTCCTGCATGTGGTTTCACAGGGGCTAGGAGAAGTCTGTCAGGCCCATGAGTACTGGTCACCCCCACAGGTGGCTGTCCCAGATGTGGTCCAAGCTGCAGCAGATGCCGACATTCTGATCTTTGTGGTGCCCCATCAGTTCATCGGCAAGATTTGTGATCAGCTCAAGGGCCACCTGAAGGCAAACACCATTGGAATATCTCTTATTAAGGTGCCAGGGATACCTTCATGTGGACAGGGGTGCAGCTAACTGTTGTGGGGCTCATAGTAGGTGAAGTGAGGAGAAGAGAAAGTGGCGGAAGTAGGCCAAGAGTTTTCTGGAGAGGGGAAAGGAGTTGGCTTTGGGAAGCTTGAGAAACAGTCCGATGCTAGGGGCTATTGGGAAGGGGAGGTGGATTGGGGAATAGACAAGAGATTGGTTTGGAGGCAAATGTCTTGGGGAGTTTAGAAGGTATACAAGGGATGCCTGGGGGCTGTGAGAAGCAGGCTATTTAGAGGAGTGTGAAAGAACAGTTGGTTTAGAGCAATGGCTGGGATGGTAGGAGGTTTGGGGTACTCAGGAATGGGTTGTTTAGGGATGTGGAGGGGATATATTGCCTTAAAGAGGTAGATTGGTTGAAAGTATGTGGAAGGAGTTTTCAGATGGACTCATTTTCACATGCCATCTACTCTCCTGACAGCAAGCTTTGGCTGGGTTGGACCTTTGGGGACACTGATGAACAGCTGACTTGGAAGGGGCAAGATTTCTGGGTGGGAAGCCCTCCGCTGGGCATAAAGGGTATCTGGCCTGAGCTCCATCCTATGCCCAGGGGGTAGACAAGGGCCCCAATGGGCTGAAGCTCATCTCTGAAGTGATTGGGGAGCGCCTTGGCATGCCCATGAGTGTGCTGATGGGGGCCAACATTGCCAGCGAGGTGGCTGATGAGAAGTTCTGTGAGACAACCATTGGTGAGAGCCCCACTACCACCCACATATATAATGCAGCTCCAGTTACATACCCTCCCCATACTTTCTCCCCCACCCACTTTGCCATCTTCTCCCATAAGGCAGGCTAAGGAAGGAGACCCAAGCATTGGAGGTGATGGAGGGTTGGTACACCCCCATGGAAGGAGTTTCAGATCCTGCTTGCGGTAGGTGTGAGAAGAAGTCAAGAGCCTCTCTTAAAGCCTTGTCCCTCCCCACTTTAGGCTGCAAGGACCCAGCCCAGGGACAGCTTCTGAAAGAGCTGATGCAGACACCCAATTTCCGCATCACAGTGGTGCAAGAGGTGGACACAGTAGAGATCTGTGGGGCCTTAAAGGTGAGAAGAGCACAGAGGCAGCTGTGGGGTGGGGAGAAGGTCCTGAAGGAGGGTCTGGCTTAGCTATACAAGGTTACTGGTACTCCAGGTTCGCACTCATAAGCAGTTGCTCCCATTGCCCTCCAAGTCCCATATGCATAAGAAGAACTGCAGAAGCAAGGCCAAGGTCATTCAGGCCTGCCGATTATTCACCATCACACATTGGGCCCCCTTCTTACTTTCTTCCTATAGCCACTTGTGGGACATCCCTATTCCTGGCTCCAGGGGGTGGTCCAGGGGGAAGAGATGCCCTGGGGGAGTGCATCCAGACTAATGGGAGAGAAGACATCCAGGACACCAGATTGAGGGCCAGAAACTCTGGATCCTGGACAGAGCTGTGGACATCAGGAACAGTCATGGATGGGAGGGCCAGCTGGACAGAAGACTGATTTTCAGTAAATGTCCTAAAGGATGGAGTATGGAGCAGAGGTGGGAAGCCAGGCAGTACGAGCCAAGGCTAAAAGAAGAGAGTACAGCAAGTGGGAAAACCAAGAGGTGGGAATAGTTGAGGAGCCCACCCACTATACTTCATTTATCAGTGGGTGTGTCATGGCTGATAGAAGGAGCATGAGGCAGGTACTGAGGGCTCCAAGTGGGGCCTGCAGGAGGGGCTCCTTTCTCACCTGTGACCTCCACTCTGCAAAGAATGTCGTGGCCGTGGGGGCTGGCTTCTGTGATGGGCTGGGCTTTGGCGACAACACCAAGGCGGCAGTGATCCGACTGGGGCTCATGGAGATGATCGCCTTCGCCAAGCTCTTCTGCAGGGGCCCTGTGTCTTCTACCACCTTCTTGGAGAGCTGTGGTGTTGCTGACCTCATTACCACCTGCTATGGAGGGCGGAACCGCAAGGTGGCTGAGGCCTTCGTCCGCACAGGAAAGGTGGGCTGTGGGGAGAATGGAGAATGGAGGGTGGGCCCCATAGGTGTCAAGATAGAGGAACTTGGCTTGAGGCACCTCTTGAGCACAAACATTAAGATTGTTATGAATATTCCCGGCCTTTCTTTCCTCCTAAGACCCCCACCTGTCATCTGGGCCCCAGACTGAGCCCCATCCACTTCACACTGACAACCCTCCTCTCCTATTTCAGTTCACCCATACTGTTTTCTTCACAGCCCATTGAGCAGCTGGAAAAAGAGATGCTGAATGGGCAGAAGCTGCAGGGGCCCCAGACAGCCCAGGAGCTACACAGCATCCTCCAGCACAAGGGCTTGACGGACAAGTAAGTGTCTACCACAGCCCCATTGGTGGCGGGAACCACAGCCAGAAGTGCTCTCCCTGTTCATCTTCCTGAACCTCCTCAATCTGTGAAGTGGGCAGAGAGGGAAATGTTATAGACACAGAGACTAGAGCTTGGAGAGAGTCTGGTATGTCCACTCTTCCCAGCTAGTTCATGGTCTTTGAATTCCTTTCAGTCTAGTGCTCTTTATACCACATTGCTTTGACCCCTCTGCATAGCCTCCTCTCTATCCCTTCCTCTTTATCCTCTGGTATGAGGGTATTTTTTTTTAAGCTCACTGGACTGTCTTGCTTCCACGTCCATCACCCCCAGTCTAAGCAGCTCCTCCAAAGCCAAGCCTCTATCCCCTGGATGCTGTCCTGGGTGCCGAGGGGCGAGGGCAGTCTTTGCTTCAAGGTGCTTTGTGCTTCGTGGAGCACAAAGACAGTGGGGGTGATGGGCTGATCAGAGCAGAGCTCTGTGGGTCTGAGAAAGAATCTTGAAAGAAGAATCTTGAAATAGTTTCAGAAGATCAGCTCATAACTGGTCAGGGTAAAGCCTCTTGATAAAGCAACCAGCCTGGGCAAGAGGATGAGAAGAAGAAAAGTGGCATTTATTGAGCACTTTCATAGAATACATAATCACTTCTTCACTACTTTGTTATATTGGCCACATTTTACAGTCGATGATACTGAGGCTCAGAGAAGTTAAGTGGCTTGCCCAGATGGAACAAAAAAAAAAATGTCAGGGAATCATGATGGCAAGGCATTTAACAAACCTGACCCTAAAATCCAGTGCTAGGAAGTTCAAATTCTCAGCAACTGGAAATTGAGAGCCAGAGTCTGCCTGAACTCAACTGTGGGAGAGTAGGGGAATGGAGGTTGAGGAGATAGATGGGGAGTGGGCGATAGAGGGCTTCCTATGAGGATAAACTGAGTCTCTCCTTCCCCATTTTAGGTTCCCTCTGTTCATGGCGGTGTACAGGGTTTGCTATGAGAACCAGCCAGTGGGTGAATTCATCCACCACCTGCAGAATCATCCAGAACATATGTGAACGGAACTGTGGCCCAGGCCAGGCAGCTTCTTTGCCCCATGGAGACAGGCAAAAGCTTGGGTAGCTGGCCACCAGAATCTCTGGGACTCCCCACAGAACAGCTTCTTCTCTGCTTTTCACTGAAGGACAGGAGGCTCTGGGACTACCTGCGAGGAGATCTTGAACCACCAAGCAGCCTGCAGCCTCTTGCCACATCGCACCAGAGATGCCTTGTCCCTCTCCAGATATGGGGCTTTCTCCTTATCCTCTGGGAAGCCCCAGTGATGCCTGTTTTGGGTGTGTGTGGTGAGGCAGAGGGTCGGGGAGAGGGAGACAAGGCAAGGGTTGTCCACTGCTGCCTTACACTATCCCCAAGCCCAGTAAAATGGCTAAAGAACTACCTCAGCCACAAGAGCGATGAGGCAAGAGTTGCCTGGGCTTTTGAGCTGACACAGGGACCCCTTTGCTCTGACCTCTGCCAGGCACCACACAGCATCAATGGTTCTCAGTGTTTGTTAACAAAATACAAAGATCTCAACCCCCTTCTAGCTTCTCCTAGCAACATCTGTGTCCTCAGAAACCTCTGGTCATTCCCTTCCCCCTTCCCCCAGGCTACTCTGGCACCAGAGTTGCTGCCATGCTGGCATTACTGGTCCTGGGGCTTTTTATTCTCCCCATGGGCTTCCTGGTTCCTAGTTCTGTGCCAGCTCCTCCCCACAGTGCATGACCTTTCTAAGCCTTCCCTCACCCTCCCTGCCAGCACTCTCTTTGGGGAGCAGGAACTTAATCTGCTGACAGAGCTACACCTTTTCATAGCAGGCTCAGATCACTCTGCTCCCTCTGACCTTTGTATTTGCCCTGCCTGCCTCCCTTCTCAGCAACTCTAGCAGCATCAGGGGAGGTCTGGGCTAGGTCCCTCCTCCTGCTATTTCCCCGGGGACATCCTAGGCTCCACCCCTTTCCTTTTCTCCAATGCTGTACCTATTTCTCACCTACCCCCAGAGCAGCCAGGGCAGCTAACC